GCTGCTGGTGCTGCTGGTGCTGCTGGTGCTGGTGGTGCTGGTGGTGGTGGGGCCGGCGGCGGCGGCGGTGGTGGTGGCGGCGGCGGCAGTGGTGTAGCAACGCAGTGAGGTATTAATAGTTTGGGCGAAGCCTGTGACAGTTGACGTTTGGAGAGGACTGTTCCTAGGGCAGAGTTGACTGCTTTTTTGGTCTTTCTTGAGAGAGTGGATTCGATCATGAGCGCATCCTTGTTTGTTCGGATGCTTCCTATGTCATCAGAGGCTGGGCTAGGTTCTTGAAACGTCGTGCTGTTTCAAAAACCAATGGCGATTTTTGGCACTGTTGTTGACACAAAAAATTAAACTCGTTCTTTGGAACTGGTCAAGGCTACGTCGCGTCCCATCCTTTTTGCAGCATAATGGTTCTGCCCTGGAACGCGCGTGGGAGGGAAATAGGTGTGCTGATGACGAGGCTACTGCGCGGGCTAACGCTGCAGCCACACGCCCATAAGAGCGTGGTTGACTGGGTGGAACTCAGAGCTGGTAAGCTCATTCACTGGTTAGTTCCAAGGGCCCTTTTCTGGCTCAATGTCAAGTGGCCTGCATCGGAGGAACCCACTGCCGGCAAGCTCACTAAAGCTTCTTTGTTTTAGCGGCTCACCTCTAATGTTTTTCAAAGAAATTTACGCTGCACGTCGTGCGGCTTGGCTCTTAAATATTATGACTCTTCGCCGTATATGCAAGAGAAGGCGATGAGGGAATGTATTCCCAAGGGTGCCAACACCTGGCTGGGCAGCCAACTACACAGAGCTTTGCACTACACTCACACAATTGGTCATCTGCAGGGCAACAAGTTTAGTTGCCACCTTTTCAAAGGGCAGCTCACGCTTGGGGGCAATCTTTCTAAGAAAGTGAAGGAACTTTGCAGATAAAAAAAGGGGTCTGGCGTCTGGAGAGGAAGGGAGGAAGAGAAGAAGAAGGGAGAAAACACAAAATGCAGAGACCTGGCAGGCCAAGAAAGACAAAGAAAAAGGCAAGAAAGAAAGAAAGACAGAAAGAAAAGATGGAAGAAAGGAAAGCAAGGAAAGAAAGAAAAGAATGGAAAGAAAAGGCAAGGCAAGAAAAAAAGAAAGGAAAGAAAGGAAAAAGGAAGGAAAGAAAGGACAAGAAGGAAAGGAAGGAAAGGAAGGAAAGGAAGGAAAGGAAGGAAAGGAAGGAAAGGAAGGAAAGGAAGGAAAGGAAGGAAAGGAAGGAAAGGAAGGAAAGGAAGGAAAGGAAGGAAAGGAAGGAAAGAGAAAGAATGAATAGCTAGTGACAAAACACAAACAAACTTCCGTAGAATCGAGCTCCCATGATGACCGCACCCGCCCACTCGCTCCTCTTCGTGGTTGTCGTTGGCCTCCATGAGCATCAACTTCTCACCGTCCTCACAGATCCTCTCTCCATACTCCTTGCAATAGTTCCTAAGTTTGCTTGGCTCGAGGGCCCGGTTCACACAGGCAAAGAAGCACGCTGACTCAGAGTGATCACGTTGTACCATTGGGTCATGTACTGGCCTTTTGCCAAGCACCCTACACGGGTTGATAACCAGCCAAGACACTCCTCTTTGAGCTTGATAATCCAAATGCCCTCTCCAGAAGAGCCGCGATTTTGCTTGATGACGCGCGGCTGGAATGCCATAGTTTTTTTGAAACCAGCGGCAAACTCTTCAGGAGAGTAATACGCCAATGTGTCCTCCAAACCAATGTTCATAGTTGCAACCTGAGCACCAATGCACAAGGCAGCAACAAACCTTGCACAATACAATATCACAACACTTTACAACACGTTCTTGCTTGAAAATTTTGGCTGCAGCAGACCTTGCAAAGAGCATCCTTGGCGCCCATCTTCTCCATGACATCGGGAGATGGCCAAACCTGCTTGCCGGCCTTCCTCATAGCTCTCATGCCGTCATCAAATTTCTGCTGGTCTCCGCCGTCAGCCTTGATCTGTCCTTGTGAAACCAATATTCATCAGGGGGCTGGACACAAGAGAGCCATTCGCATTCTAGGAATTTGCTCAACATATACGTTGATGCAGGCCCATCATTCAATGATTTTCAGAATGGAACCACCGGGCCTGGATTGCAGCGCACAATGATGAAGTCAAACTGCTTGCAAAGTTCAAAGAACTTGTCGTGCTCCTCATGGGTGTAATGGATCAACTGGCAGCTCATTCCCGCAGAAATCATACCTTGCGACGGGGCCATTTGAAAGTCAAGGCGGGTGATCAAAGAGTGGGGTAATCTGGTGGGCCATAGGCACGGCTCAGTCTAATTGGCATGCATTGTTTAATCCCACTTTGGTATGTGCAAAAGATATTTCAGACCCAACAGGCGCAAAAACACACAAGTATGCGATGAAGATTTTCATTCAATGGATGACTTATGGTAACCTTCTAATGGACTTTCACCGGCATGAACTCGCAAGACTAGGTTTTCTTCATTTCCGCGAGAGTTGGACATGGCGATCACAACCTGGATTGCATCAATCTTTGCGCTGCAATCAGGCTCTCTCTGATCACGTGCTTCTTTTTGCTGCTCGGTACCCCACAAACCCCACAAAGATGGGACCCCAACCAGCTCTACCCCAGAAGAATTCAAATTCGTTCCAAAGAGCCGTTCACGATCGGAATGGAGTCATATCGATGGCCATTGTTGCTCTTGTCCGAACCTCCATAGGGCTGGCTTCGCACATAGATTTGAGCGAGCGCACCTGAGCGCTGAGCACACTATTCTGTCTCATTGGAATTCTTGCCCATTACCTCGTCAGTTCACCGCAACAGGTAAATCATAAGTCAGCCGCCATCTGCTTGATACTTTTTCCCATCTTTGCGCGGCCCCGATTACTCATAACATTTCCCTGGTTTTCAAACATCCTGGCTTCGACACCTTCGTTCAAAAGCCAGCAACATGCTCCTATCAGTAGTCTCTTAAAGTGTCTTGTGATATGTTGTAAGGTTCCAAGGACGCAGCCTTGCAAATGCACCCAGTTTCGCAACTGACCCCGTCACAACAAAAACAACATGCAGCCCACGAACCCGAATGCAGTTGCAGTCACGTAGAACACTTTTGTGAAACAAGCTATTTGAACAGTCTTGTACATTTTTTCACCTGTTATCCAAACAGTGCACTCAAGACTGTGGAATGCGGACTGAGGTGGAGCGGAAAGTGTGGAGTGCAGAGTGTAAAGTGTAGAGTGTGGAGTGTGGAGAGCGAAGTGTAAAGTCTAAACTGTGGAGTGTAGAGTGTGGAGTGTGGTGTGGAATGCAAAGTGTAGAGTGTAAAGTGTGGAGTGTAATGTGTAGACTGCAGTGTAAAGTGTAGAGTGTGGAGTGTACAGTGTAGAGCGTGGAGCAAGGAGCGTGAAGTGTGACGTGTGGAGTGTAGAGTGTGGAGTGTAGAGTGTGGAGTGTAAAGTGTAAAGTGTGGAGTGTAAAGTGCGGAGTGTATAGAGTGTAAAGTGGAAAGTGTGGAACGTAAAGTGTAGAGTGTGGAGTGTAGAGTGTGGAGCATGGAGTGTGGATTTTGGAGTGTAAAGTGTAAAGTGTGGAGTGTAAAGTGCGGAGTGTAAAGTGTAGAGTGTAAAGTGGAAAGTGTGGAGCGTAGAGTGTAGAGTGTGGAGTTTAAAGTGTGGAGCATGGAGTGTAGAGTGCGACGTGTAAAGTGTGGAGTGTGAAGTGTAAAGTGTGGAGTGTAAAATGTAAAGTGTAGAGTGGAAAGTGTAAGGTGTGGAGTGTAAAGTGTAGAGTGTGACGTGTAAAATGCGGAGTGCGCAGTGTAAAGTGTAAAGTCTGGAGTGTAGAGTGTGGAGTGTAGAGTGTGGAGTGTAAAGTATAGATTTTAAAGTGTAGAGTGTAAAGTGCGGAGGGTAAAGTGTAGAGTGTGGAGTGTAGACTGTTAAGTGTAGAGTGTGGGGTGTAGAGTGCGAAGTGTAAAGTGTAAATTGTGAAATGTGGGGTGTAAGGTGTAAAGTGTGGAGAGTGTAAAGTGTAAAATGTGAAGTGTAAAGTGTGGAGTGTAAAGTGTGGAGTGTGAAATGTAAAGCGTAGAGTGTGGAGTGTGAAGGGTGGAGTGCGGAGTGAAAAGTGTAAAATGTAAAGTGCGGAGTGTGAAGTGTAAAGTGTCAAGTGTAAAGTGTGGAGTGTAAAGTGTAAAGTGTGGAGTGTAGAGTGTGGAGTGTAAAGTGCAGAGTGTAAAGTGCAGAGTGTAAAGTGTGGAGTGTAAAGTGTGGAGCGTAAAGTGTAAAGTGTGGAGTGTAGAGAGTAGAGTGTGGAGTGGGGAGTGTCATTACATGTCACAACATGTCACGCTTGCCACGGATTTTGCACATTGCCACCACTTGGCGCAGCCCTGACAATAAGATTCGCCAAAAAAAAACGCACAACAAGACATGTCTGAAGTGCTACACCTGCCACGCACAAGCTTGATGGGCACATTGAAAGTGCTGTGCCTGCCACCTAAAATGCAAGTTATCTTCTGAAAACCTTGCAGAAGTATTGCGCCTGTCACACAAAAATGACTTCGACACTTTTGCAGACACGTGAGAATGTCAGGAAGTGCCACGCCTACGCAAAACGACATTACAACCTGCTTTGAAACCTTGAGAAGGAGATGTTTTGCAGCTTCCCCATAGACACAGCGACGGCAGAAGAAAGCCAGAGAATCGAGGCGAGACATGTAGGAGCCTCAAAACGAGCATTTCGTGCGAGACTTCCTCCAAGTATACTTTGTAGCTTCAAAATCGACATCTTCCTACGACTTTTCTCATGAACCTCAAAATTTGCTACCTCAAAATCGATACGCTTCCGTCAATTTTCAGCACATCTCACAAAATGCCACGCCTGCCACGGAATTTGCACCTTGTCACCACTTGACGCTGCCCTGACAATGAGATTTGCAAAAAACACGCAACATGACACGTCTAAAGTGCTGCGCCTGCCACGCAAAATGACGATGGTGGTCTCCAGAGTGTTGCGCCTGCCACGAAAAATGCAAAGCATCTTCTGAAAACGTCGCAAGTGTATTGCGCTTGCCACACAAAACGATTTTCCACACGTTACAAGCACGTCTATATGTCACGAAGTGCCACGCCTGCCACGCGAAACGAAGCTACGCGACGCTGGAAACTTCCAAAAGTGACCCCTTTTGCAGAAATCACCATAGGCACGGCCATATGGCCCTCACGCGGACGGTTGCGGACGGTTGCGACCGTAAATGCAGCGTCGAGCGAACACACCCTCAACCCCCAGGCCCCCAGAGTGACACGGGAACCCTTGCTACGCATTCGGGAAAAAAAACTCCTTTCGAGTGATCCTCACCCTGACACATTATGTATTCTGATATAGTTTCTGACATACCATCTGGAAGTATATTTTTGTATATATTTATATTATATATATATATATATTCTGACGTTCTGTCTGGGTTTTTTGTCTGGCATATACTCTACTCATCTCTACTCTGACATTCTTTCTGGCATTCTATCTGGCATCTATTGTGACATTTTCTCTGGCATTCTTTCGCCACATTCATTGGCGCTCGCTGAGATCTGGCGCTCGCGGTTGAGGTCCGGCAGCCCACTGAGATCTGCACCTTGCGGTTGAAGCCCGGCATTGCCCACTGACATCTGGAGCTCGCGGTTGAGAAGCAAGAAGGACTAGAAGAAGGAGGAGGACGAGGAGGAGAAAGCAACTCTGATAAAATCTAGAGACCCTCACCTGGCAGGTGGGGAACAACAGTGCCGGCAAAAACGATCAAACAAGGGGCAGCCCACGAACCCGAATGCAGTCACGCAGAACACTTGTTGTGAAACAAGTTATTTGAACAGACTTGCGCATTTTTCCCCTGTTGCCGTACCAGTGCACTGTGGACTGTGGAATGTGGAAGAGGGTGGAGTGCAATGTGTGGAGTGTGGAGTGTGAAGTGTAAAGTGTGGAGTGCAAAATGTAAAGTGTAGAGTGGAAAGTGTAAAGTGTAAAGTGCGGAGTGTGGAATGTAAAGTGTGGAGTGTGCAGTGTGGACTGCGAAGTGTAAAGTGTAGAGTGTGGAATGTAAAGTGTCGAGTGTAGAGTGTAAAGTGTGGAATGTCAAGTGCGGAGTGTAAAGGGTGGAGTGTTGAATGTAGAGTGTAGAGTGTAGAGTGTGGAGTGCAAAGTGTAAAGTGGAAACTGTGAAGTGTGGAGTGAAAATATAGAGTGCAAAGTGTGGAGTGTAAAGTGTGGAGCGTAGAGTGTAAAGTGTAGAGTGTAGAGTGTGGGGCGTGAAGTGTAAAGTGAAAAGTGCGGAGTGTGGAGTGTAAAGTGTGAAGTGTAAAGTGTAGAGTGTAGACTGTTAATTGTAAAATATCTAGCGTAAAGTGTAGTGTTGAGTGTAAAGTGTAAAGTGCGGAGTGTGGAGTGTAAAGTGTAAAGTGTGGAGAGTGGAGTGTGAAGTTTGGAGTGTGGAGTGTAAAGTGTGGAGTGCGGAGTATGAAGTGTAAAGTGTGGAGTGTAAAGTGTGGAGTGTAAAGTGTGGAGTGGAGCGTAAAGTGTGGAGTGTATAGTGTAAAGTGAGGAGTGTCGTGTGTAGAGTGTGGAGTGAAGACTGTGGAGTGTAAAGTGTCAAGTGGAAAGTGTGGAGTGTAAAGTGTGGAGTGTGAAGTATGGAGTGTAAAGTGAGGAGTGTGAAGTGTAAAGTGGGGAGTTTTGAGTGTGGATTGTAGAGTGTGGAGTGTGGAGTATAAAGTATCGAGCGTAAAGTGTAAAGTGTAAAGTGTGGAGTGCGGAGTGTAAAGTGTAGAATGTGGAGTGTGGAGTGTAAAGTATAAAGTGTGGAGTGCGGAGTGTGAAGTGTAAAGTTTGGAGTGTGGAGTGTAAAGTGTGGAGTGTGGAGTGTGAAGTGTGGAGTGTAGAGTGTGGTGTGTAAAGTGCAGAGTGTAAAGTGTGGAGTGTAAAGTGTGGAGTGTGGAGTGTAGAGTGTGGAGTGTGGAGTGTAGAGCACGCAACGCGACACATCTGAAGTGCTGCGCCTGTCACGCAAAATGACGATGGAGGTCTCCAAAGTGTTGCGTCTGCCACGAAAAATTCAAATCATCTGCTGAAAACCTTGTAATGAATAAAGTATTGCGCCTGTCACACAAAAATGACTTCGACACTTTTGCAGACACGTGAGAAAATTTCAGGAAGTGCCACGCCTACGGAAAACAACATTACAACCTGCTGACACAGCGACGGCAGAAGAAACGCAACACGACTCCTCTAAAGTGCTGCGCCTGCCACGCAAAATAACGATGGGCACGTCCAAAGTGCTGCGCCTGCCACGAAAAATGCAACGCATCTTCTGTAAACGTCGCAAGAGTATTGCGCTTGCCACACAAAACGACTTTCCACACGTTACGAAACACGTCTGAATGTCACGAAGTGCCACGCTTGCCATGCGAAACGAACCAATGCGACCTTTTTAAACCTCCAAAAGTGACCCCTTTTGCAGACCTTACCCCCTCACGCGGATGGTTGCGGACGGTTGCGGACGGTTGCGGACGGTTGCGGACGGTTGCGAGCGGTTGCGGACGTAAACGCAACGTCGAGCGAACATAACCTCAACCCCCAGACCCCCAGAGTGAAACGGGAACCCTTGCTTCGCATTCGGGAAAAAGCGACGACTTGCCGAATCATTGCATAATTGGTACGGCACCGGCCTGAACAGCTTTAAAAGAGTCTTTACTTACGCGAAAAACTCCGGGTGAGTGATGGGTGGCTGGAAGCACACTTTGCCTTTATGCCCGTGCATGGAAAAATATGGAAAAATGAGTGGAGTTCGTGATTTAGATTTACTGGCCTTTGAAAGCAGTCGCAGACCTGTTTCTGTCACAACCTGCTTTCTCATCAGTTGGGTAGCATCAGTTGCGCGCAAGGTCAAGCACATCTGTAGCATCACAAACAGTACATCTGCAAGTTCATGAAAGTTCAAGACAAATTATGCATTTCCCCCTTACCTCCAACCCCAACCCCAACCAACCCTGTGCTCTTCTAAATGCATTTAAGTGGTATAGCAGGTGGTCCAAACAGATCACTTCATTCACTGAAGTTCAACACCAACCAACAAGCTGACTACCTCAGCAACTGACCGTACTTCGTGTGGTACCTGAAGGACTGATGTGTCGCGAGCAACTCACACCTAACCGACCTAACCCATGGTTATCCAAGGCGCCCTTGAACTTTGGTGCTGAAGGTTGCTCCAACCTCAGTTCGAGCATGTTTGAAATCGAAACTTCTGCACCTCAGTTTGTGTTGAAATTTTCATACTGAGCTCCATCTCGGCCTGGCACTTGGCAGGAAAAAGAATCCACAAGGCGGCAGTGCCCCTTTGAATCCAGTTGAACGGATTGTCATTTGTTCAATACGATCGCCAAGCAACATTCCCTTGTAGTCCTTGGCCACGACTGTGATGCTGCTGCAATCCACAGGTCCTGGGCATGGATCCTTCTTCTCCACACAAGCCTTGATCCTCAGTGACCGGAAAGTGAAGGTTGTCTAGAGTCTGCTTCCCCTATCCATTGACCACGGAAGCTGAGAGACTTCCATAATTTCATACGACTTCCATGTGTTTCCGGGGATGACCGATCTCAGACGAGCATCTTGGCCAACTGATCTGGGGGCAACTCCTTCAAGGCTGCTGCGATCTCCTCAGGGGTCTTGCCCTCCATTGCGGTCTTGGCTTCCTGGAGGTGTTGACTTGGGGTGAGTTGGGCGGTTCCTTTCAGGTCCCCATATCAAGACAGTGGCCATGTTGGGGATAGACTGGCAGCACTGAAGGATTCGATCAAAACACATTGGTAAACAGGCACATTGTAAAACAATGTAAAACATGGGTAGCCAAGTAGCGCTGGATGCGGCGCTGCCCATGTTGACAAGGCTGTGAAGAGCGAGAGAGGTTTAGAGAGCGGTTGAGCGACGTTCAAGGCCGAGAGTGCTTGAGCAAAAATGCAGTGTCAGGTAGTTTCCAACAGGTAGTTTTCAACGTGTCTCCCCAACCAAGTCTCCACTTCTGATGGAAAACCCACCATGTTTGATGGAAAAATTATGGAAAATCCCCAGGTGCCTCAAAGCAACTAAAGAGCAATCGGACAGGAAATCACAGCCTTGCTTCGCTGTACTGAGCTTGGTGCTCATCAGCGCCACATCTGTCCGCTGAAAACCCATTTGGAAGACGGTGGGCTGGTAGACCTTCTTCCCCTTGTCATCCTAGGTGAAAGGTGACGAACTCCTATACGCTGGTCATGGCTAGTCTGTAATAAAGTTTGGCAAAGCTAAAGAGCCAATGCTGAGGGTAGCCAGCCACGCCCTGTATGAGCACAAAAAAAAATAACAAAAAAACAAAAGCAGCATCCATATTCAAATCACAACTGCAAGCTTCTTAAAACCCTCCTCGGACTCGCTTTGGCATTCTGTTTTAGTTTGTATGTCTTCAACCTCTCGACCTTTTGCTATTGTTTTTGTGACTCCTTCTTCCCCAACCATCATTCCTACATTCAGCAACGCACTGAATGCAGCTTCTCCAGTTCATGGTTGGCCAGCTTGTCGTTGAACATATTCAAGAATATCACATCCACTATGGTACAATAGAAATTAGATCGGCCACTGTGAGAAAATCAAAGGCCTGTATCGTTTGAATATGGTTGTATAGTCGATAAAAGGCAACTCTCCCAGAATCCCGGGGTGAGTTCTAAAGGGAATTATATCTACGCACGAGACTGCCAACAGCTGCAAGTTGAAATCCTCCTTTGACATTTTTTCTTAGGCAGGTCTCTTTTCGATTGAAGAGGGAAAAGGATTGCGATCCAGATTGCGCCCAATCCATCTCAATGTCCAGCTCAGTGTGACCTTGGCTCCGACCAAAAGCCATGGGATCCCATGGATCCGACGCAGCCTTTGTCGTTTTAAGTCGGTTGAAGTCGAATGGGATCCCGGCCAAGATTGACCAAGGTATTTGAATCTCGGTTCTCCATGCGGCAAAAGCATCCATCTGCCTTTTTTGGGCGAAGGAATGGACTCCGACATTTTTTAAAAAGCTACCAGAATAAGGACTGAAATGATGGGTTCACTGAAATGGTCTTGCAACTCTAAGCCTCTAAGCAGCTACCTCTTTGTGACTAATATTGAAGATTCTCGAAGTACACAGAAGAGATATGAGAACGTGAACCACATATATATATACCCTAGAAGTCTAAGGCTATTTTTTTAATGGCCTTTACTAACGACCATTGTTTGTAACTTTAGGGGCCTCCAGTGGGTTCAGCGGTGCCATTGCCTGTGACAACTAAGGTCCGCAGCTGTTTTATCAAACCCAGAGCCTTGGTGATTACCCTATCTATTGTCTATAAATAAAATGCTATAAATTCTATAAAATAAGATCTGATGGAATTGCAAACACAAATCCGAAACATTCTTTCTGGCACTGGCTAGCTTCAAAGTCTTGTCCCACTCTACAACTAATACACTTCTAAAAGCAAGACGTTTTCCCGAAAGCATCGAAAAGCAAAAGCGCTATTGGCAATGGCAATGGCAGTTTGGCAGGCTGCTAGTGGATCTCACAAATGATATAATAGTATCTATATATCTATACTATATGATGTATATATGTTTTATATTGTTTTATGTGACATATATAGTTCTTTTCGTTTTCTTTCAGTCCCATGTCGCAGCCTAAAAACCAGAAATCATCAGAAATCCCAATGCCTCGGCCATCAATTCCGAGAAGATGAAAGACAAGTGCCGGTCAAAGAGTTGCACCTGGGAAGGTTGGTGAGGTGCGACTGAACTTTCCAGGCAACGAAGCATGTGGATTTTGAAGAATGGTGGGCAACTGCAAGGAAGTTCATAGCCCATCAGGCTTAAGCCGAATGTTAGGTGTATTTTTTTTAAAAAAATATATATATTCAAACATATTCAAAAACTATTCAACAAAATCAGGAAAAAAAACAACGTGAATCCAAAACAAATTCAAATGCGAAGAGATTCATCATAAATCATCATGAACAACTTAAATCCAAATGTATCTGTATATAAGAGAAGATCTTGAGAATTAGAGGTATTTGTGCTCTCACCCATTGGAATAATTGCTCTGACACACACACACAGGGGATCACTGGGGGAACAATTCTGGCTGGTGCCACATTCACAAGACTTAAGGCTGGTCTAGTTGCTCAACCTTACCCATGTTAGCCCGAATTGATTTGAGCTTTACAGTATACAGTGATACAGTATACAGTGATACAGTATGCATACACCCCTGCCAATCCCTCCAAAACGTTCCAAGAGACCGTCTCTTGCGAATACTCTTCTGGCAAGCATTCGTAAACCATCCGCCGAAGGTAACCTGGAATTTGCTTGGCTTGTGAGAAGAATCTGTAATTGTTGTGAAGACTCCCAGACTGAGGCGCAAGTGGAGCAGGTGGCGCAAGTGGCGCAAGATGGTCAGTCTCCACTCTAGAGAGCTGCCGTGCCACTCGCTTCAAAGCCATACCTACGCCTTTAGTACCGGTCCAATTGACAGTGCCAAGACGACCAGTTTGGCAAGGCTCAAAGTTGCCAAGCAACGAAGCGCTTTGTGGCTCTGGCTCCTTTGGCCTTAGGACATGAGCACTTGCACTTGTCTCGACGGTGTCCCTGCAAGTCCAGGAGGTGACAAGTCTGAGGTAAGGGCTGACTGCCATAGCAATGGTCACGATCATGTTCGGATCCAAAAACACCTAGAACGGGATTCCAGAGACGTGCTTTCTTATGCCAAACTTCGAATCAGTTTGCCTAACGTACACTACAAAGAGACGGATGTTGGAAGAGTAGAGAGGCTGTAAGTGGCAAGCCAAGAATCTATTGTGGAATTCTAAGAATTCCACAATATTCCACAATATATCAGATAGGTTCACATAGATCACATAGTATATAATGTAGTTTCAGAACAGCACACACTTAAAGCATGTAACATAAGAATTCCACAATATTCCACAATATATCAGATAGGTTCACATAGATCACATAGTATATAATGTAGTTTCAGAACAGCACACACTTAAAGCATGTAACAAACATGTAGCAATATGGTGCCTTCTCTGCAATGGCAGCATCTAAGACTTTGTGACCTCATGTCGGCACAAATGAAAGCGGGCGCCAAAAACAAAGAGATCTGGCCACAAGAATCAAACATCAACGTCGGCTGAAATCAACTGTCCGCTACTGTTGTTCAAAAATGTTCAAAATATGAAAATGATTCGTTCCAACAAAACCGGGTACTATATAACCATGCACCTAGCAGTATTGTTCACGAACAGCATTTATGTCCAAGCGCTTAGTGTGACTGGCTCTCGGTGGACATTCTGTGTGCGAAACAAGAGAGTTTCCTCTGTGTTCAGTCCAGGCAGCAGTTGGCTAATCTGTTGGCCCTTGTCAAAGCCACTAGCAGCCTTGGACCGAAGGCACATAACTAATTATCCTCTCGATGGAACGTGTGGAGTGTGCTTGTACTCGCTCGCTTTTTCCCTACCACAAACGCACACAAGCGAGCATTCACGGATATTCGACGGATCCAAGTGAATCTAATCCCCGAGCCCCCGGAAGCACGGCAAGAACAGCCTGGATGCCGCATTGGATATTGATCGTTCCAGAGGTATCTCCCATGCTCTACCAGTGTCCAACTGCACAATTAAGTTCATTTATAGATTTATAGTGTGTAAAACCAAGCAAGCAGCTATGGGAATGGCTCACGCATGCTTACGAAGCTATTTGCCAAAGCAGGAGCCAAAATAGTGATAGAAGGAAGCATACCTATACAACATGCTAGCCTTTTGTGGCATATGCTGATCGAAAACATCCACAATGGTGTGATATATGTACGTGTGTATAAATATATGTATGTACAACATTATATATATACGTACATAGACATACTTTTACATGCATATTGTGTATATATACATGTATGATTTTGTGATACTAATTGAAATTATGTATTATATAATCACCACCGTTTTAAGGTGGGGGGACGTACCCAAAATGTAATCTAGATTTTTCAAGGTGTCTTTGAGGGGGGCCTTGAAAATGTAAGCTTACATTTTGAAGGTATTTTGAAGACCCTCCCCACAGCGACCAATTTTACATTTAAGGGGTGGTCCCTAAAAATGTATCTTACGTTTTGGTATGGTCCCCCCTCTGAAAAGTAGCTTTAATTTAAAGGGGTTGTGATTATATATATAATATATTATATATAATGTGTATATATATATAATATATATAATATTAGATTATATATGTATATATATGTATTGATGTGCACAGTATATGATTATCCCCATCTGTTGCCTTTGCCAAGTTACAAAGTCAGAGTGGCAGGATCGCAAACCCCTTCGCCTGCCTGAGCACAGGGACAACATGGCCCTCAAGGGATGGGAGTTCAACATAGGTGCATGTTTGAGAGATTCGCTCCCAAAACTACAAACTTATTGATAAATATGTATAAATATGATGAAATATGTATATTATACATTTGTATATTTCTGTGTGCTGTAACTTGAATATACTTGAATGACTTGATTTAATGGTATTTGACGTGTACCAAGACACAAGACACAAATCAAAACAATGTCGATGTTGGAGGGGCTGGTGCAAGCGAGCGATTCTGATATGACATGTTGAGGTTGTCTGCTTTGGCCCCTGCCTGGACAGCCTTATCGAATTCCCCGTAGGCTCTGCCTAAGTCTTCGATGTTCAACATCTCCTGGCAACGGAGTTGCACTCGTGGCCTTTGGAAATGAAATGACAGGAATTGTCAGCAAATAGTACAGTTCTATCAAACAATATTTAAGACATGTATTTCATCATGTCGTCAACATCCGTCAGACTTATTGGAGTTCTTGGCCACTACCAATGACATGGAAGCCGAATACTGTTAGATTCCGCAGGTGACCAGGGATCATAGAGCGGGCCCATGGGTATGTATTCAAGTGCCTACTGCTCATGGCAAAGTCGTTCCCCTCCACCCTTTGCTACAAGATGCTACAAGCATACTCTGGAACAACAATAAGAACATAGTGACTGACATAGTGTGACATTCTCTTTCATGATCCTCAAATCCTCAGCGAAAAGACTGCATCAAATTATGCCACAACTCGCGCGAAATCCTCGTATTTCTGTAATTCTTTCTTGATACTCACGGAGAGTGCTGCGTTCAACTTTACCTTGGGACCCCAAGGAGTGAGGCACCGACAACTTGTGCCGGCTGTCCACTTGACAAAACAAACATCAACAGTGGCTAATCATGCTCGCAACATGAGCTATGAATGGCTCACTCTGCAATACATTGTAGATCTTTTGTTGATCCTCATTAAATGCTGTGAACTGGATCCTACCAGTACTAGTTGCTTTGACCGAAAAATATGTGCTCCAGATGTGTATATATAGGCTGTATAGGTCCGTAGGCTGAAGCCCCTTTGACTTGCTCAACAAGTTTAGCGGCGCCAATCTTGAAGTGCAAACATCTAGCTGTTCAAAAAATGTTGTTTTCACCAGACTCTTTCCATGCTTTCCCAAACTGATCGGGTTGATCATGGCCAAAAACGGATCGAGAATGTCGAAGGTCAAAGGAGCATTAGGCTTTGGCACCACGGGCGGTGCGGCTACTGGTGGCGATGCCACACCATTGGCAGCAGGAGCCGGCTGTTCCTGCGGTCAGGGATGACTGGCAATGGCCGAGTGATAACATGGTGTTTTTACTGGGATTAATATGTTGGAATCAACAAAGAGTTATGACGTGTTGTGACTATTCAACACTGTTCAACCTAATTAAACCGTAAACCTTCAGCACCATAGGGGTCATGTCTCTCCCCCGCACTTGTGCAATGTAACGTTCTCACAGCGAAGACTTTGCTTGTTTTGGAAATAGCTGGTTGCCTACCACAGAAGCCAAGACTGCATATGCATTTTGTCCCCACAAGTGTCTCTCCAACTTGGCAGCTTGCCTGTGGTTGCGGCACCGTTGGCGGCAGCACAGGCGCTAGTTGCGGCGAGTTTTTCTTAGCAGGCCAAGTGCTGCAAACACTTCTGAGAAAGAGTGCCAAACTTGAATGATCAAACTCATATGTAATTACATTCTTGAGTCAGCCTCACAATTGCATGAAGTTCACAGGAAACAACTGTGCTGTTTGGCCAATATCTCTGCCAAAGCACCAAAGCACTGGCTTTTTGGTGCCACTCGTCGTCCTCCTCAGTTCACATTAACCATACCAATATCGTGCTGACTCTAGGTATCAATACAAGTCAAGTTGCATCATCTTCCTCTACGTAGGGCTCCTCATCCACCTCATTCGGGACCTGAGCTTTTCTATAGCGAAGCCGTTGCCCAAGAGTTTGGGCTACTGGTTCCCTTGATCGTCCTGGGCCAGTTATATGTTGGTGACAAATACACCTCACATCCCCTCACTAACATTATCTACCAGTGAAACGGGATCGTAAAATATCGTAAATATTCTATATATATATATGACAGGCAGCAGGGCCCATCACTGTTTACAAATTTGTTAAAGAAAATCAGGACAAGTGACGGGCGCCTCCTGTCCATTACTCTTAGGTCCGACGACGTTTGCCGCTGGCACCACTTCCTGGCCACACATGACGATAGGCTGATCAGGCACGGCGTCGTGATTTTCCTTTCCGGATAAAACTCTTCTGTAAGCATGTTTGCGTCATTCCAAGGCTCATTCCAAGGCTGGGTCCGCTTGCTTGCACTTTCACGCGTATTCACCAAACATGAAGAATACTAGCGTTGCTTTGCAAGAGCCCATTGAAAGGTTTTCCCAAACTGTTTCAACATGCTCTGCTCCAACTCTATGTCATCTTAAGTTTGCGCAATGTAAAAGTCAAGATGTTTTGCGTGACACTGTGATAAAGGGAACAAGTCCTATTAGTGACCTTCTGACCTCAGAGGTGTGAGGAAAGCTGGCCAGATCATGATGCAACATATGCGATATCAGTAGGAGATGTCAGCAAACAAATGCAGAGCAAGTGCTTAGTCGACAGAACCGATTTTGTTCAGAAATTCTATATCAACATCTGTGTGGAACTTTATCTGTCTGATCTAATGGAATCATTCTTATAACAATCGAGCTATAATTTCATCACATCTTACCTGATCTAAACTGACTAATCTCATCTACAGAGAATCAAATCTTCGCTGTCACCACCAGTTGCTGCTAGGGATCCTTCTTGGGTTCCTGAAACTTGAGGTCAGTGAAGCCCTTCCCGGAGGATCCATCTCCTCTCCAATCCTTGGTGCAAATCTCCATGGCTCACATGATCATTAGATAGTCATTAGACATCATTATATATATATTATACTATATATATAGCCATAGTGTTTGTTCAAATATATATATATTATATATATAACTATATATATAATTATATATATACGATACGTATGCATATAATCATATACAATCTATACAGCTGTTGCCCTGGTGTAAAAAAAAAACTCTCTTAGGCACAAAAGAGAGAGTTGACTGCAAAGCATCAAAGGAACTTACCATTGTGCCATTGGGGGATGCTGGACAAGACTTGCACTTCAAAGCATCCAATTTGCATGAGGCATTGTGTTTCAACATGTTGAGTTCTTCTGAAGACTTCTGTCATGTAGAGCAACTTCCAACTTCAATCTGTGCATTGGTTCCAACGCCTCGATCAACTGCTTCGGTTTTATATCACGGTGTTGAAAACGGTGTTGCAAACTGATGATATTTCCCGCATCAGCCCATGTTCTTCACAGAACCCTCTACAGGTTCCAGTGTGTTTGGCGGTTTTGGGGTGAATTCTGTGCTTGGTTTAACCAATTTTAACCAAGAGTCCCTATCTTTATCTGCTTTCTTCTTCTTCTCGCCCTTTCCTTTGCCATTTCTACCACCTGACGACATGCTATCGACATGGAACGCTACTTGGCTTGAGACATGTGTGGTTGTCACATTGTTGTCACCACAATGTGAGATTCATCACCAGATTCCAACTACATCATGCTTAGGACTCAGGGTCTGAAGCTTGTAGGCAAGCCGTGCATTCAAACAGTGCAAAATGATGCAAAGAGCTCCAAGGCTCTGCAACATTCGAGGCAAGCATACGAAACTTTAAACAAACAGAGGCACCTATCATTGTGATCAGAAAACGACCAAGTAGATAGTGTCTGAATATCACAAAAGAAAATATATCAAAATAACACGTTTAAATTTTTTCATGGTTGACCCATTCCAATCTTCCAAGTGAACTCCCAGCACTCCGAGGCCTTTTCCTCCGCCACTCCATCCACCGTTCCAATTGCCACCTTGCTCCCAACCTAAGGCTCTAAGGCCAACCAAGTTTATTCAATTTGGGTCCAGCCATGACTTCCGAATGCCGTGTGGGACCGGGGCTTGTCATGTTGATGTTTGGGCAAGCCTGGCAAAAATTTCCTTCAGCCTCTACATCGACTCCAGCTAATGGTGAAATTGTCGGAAATTGAGTTGGGAACTTCAAAACTACACATTGGACGCAAGAAAAACATCCATACATATCATATCCATACCAGCCTACAAACATCCAACATCAGGCTCATCACATAGTTTACAGTACAAACTTTAAAATGTCTAAAACTTCACTGGCACTGCGCCGCCATGCGCCGCCTCCACGTGCAACAATCGTGCAAATCAGTGCAAGCAAGTGGCCCCACTGGTTGCCCCAGTTGCCCCACTGGTTGCCCCAGCCACCTTTACCATTCCATTGTCCTCCCCAGTCCATCGAATGCTCGCGTGTTGATCTGATTCCTTGGCAGGAGATTCCTGGAATGCTGATAGCCCAAGTCATGAACCGTGGCCTTGCTTCACTAGCAATTCAAATTTGGAAACCTTCCTGTCAGATACTAAAAAAGTACGCGCACATCTGCGCACTAGGTAGGGTCTTTGCCTTGCAGGTTGCATCAACAAATTCTAAGTTGCAGGGAGCATGCGCACACACACACGCGTATCAATCACCAAACTGTTGATGGGTCAATGCACAATAAGTCAGGCAAGTCTCCTTGGAAATGTATCTACTCGAAATTGCACGAGGTTTGAGCAAAATGCAAACGATAGATGCAGCACAAATGATCGCATATTTCATCTGTCTGCTATACATGTCCGTACGCAAGTTCAGTCGAAATCACAATGGTTACTGCAGACTATTCTTTGCAAACTTGGTGAAGCTTTCCTGATTGTGTTTGGAGGGAAACATCACAAACAAATTGGATCAATGATATGTATGGAATTGTATGGATATGTTGGGCTTGCGGACCTGGGGATCTGCTTTTCTGACGTGTCTTTCATGCATGCAAGATGCTTTCAACAAACAAGCTCGATGGGCCCTTCGTTTGCAGAGTTGTGGGAGGAATCCGTTTTCAACAAGCAATGCTAACCCGGTGCTTTGCAAGAAATGTATACCACTCTCCAAGGACACCAAGGAAAGGACCGTGAATTGATTACAATGCACCTCCTGTGCGCTTGGCTGCGATGCAATCTTCCGTTTCTTGGCAGGGAGCCAGCCACCACCTGTCCTGATGCGCAGCAAGTGCAACCGCCCTTGCAAGGCCAAGAAATTCAGGCGAAAAATCGTCTGGTTTAATCATGTTAAATCGGTTTATATAATTACTTCGTACACATGGTCTGTTGGTGCTGCAGGGAAAGGAATGCAGAACTTTTAGAACATTGTCACTCTCGGCATTGGCGCGTGGAGCGCTGCTGTGTCAAGTCACATCGAAGAGAAACGCATGGAAAAAATATAATAAGTACAGGATAGTCATATCCCCTGCAATATATTGGATTGTATTAGCAAACGCCTTTGGAAGAAGGCTACAATCGGCTACAAGTCATGCTATCCACACCAGCTTTCTCAATGCCAACTGCTTTCCAGCGTCACAGGATCCAGTTGTGCATTTTGCGCGCTGTTCACTGCAAGGCGCCGGCCTGTGGCACAAGCCAATGCTGGAAGGCTCGTGAAGGCTTGCAGCTGGCTTTAAAGATTTTAAAGTGTTTAGGTGTTTGGATCATTTTTGGATTTTCCAAAAAGTGTCTTGAACCATATTTTCTGACCCTCGTCAGGGTCGGATGTTGAGGAGTCAGGGCTGGGTACCTAGTACTCAACCTTGCAACTGTTGCTGGGGCAGATCATGAGATGAGGTGTGGCTATCCCCAGAACCAATTAGGAATCCCAGATTTCTGCCATGGCAAGCTGCACCTCCTGCTGACATTCAAGGCTCTCCACCACTGGCGTCACAGGCTTATCTGTTTGAAAGGATGGCGCCTTCTCGGTGGTGTCGCTCTTTGATCGTGGCAGAAGCTCGACCATTTTATGTATAGATCGAGAATGATCGAGATTCAAAATGATGAAACGATGGACTTTTGACATAGCACCTTTTTGCATTCCGCACTAGGTGTTCTTCAGCTGTATTGTATGTAGCTGCCTGTTTGTGTTTGTCTGTGTGTGTGTGCGTGTTTCAAAAAGTCTCTAAAATCAAGAGCCAAAAGCTCGCGCAGCCGGTGCTACAGTTGTCTGCTGAGGAAGTACAAAGGATGTCCTCTGGAGTTATCAGTATCAGTATCAGACAGTATCAGCTTATCAATAGAATGTTGTTGATCAGTCTCCATTCGCACACTGGCAGTGTTCATGATGTAACGATCCACTGGCCATGGCGGGCATTGAATCTTCCCAAGCAAAGTTTGGATACACAAGGGGTGGCCTTGTGCTGCGATTATCTGTTTTTTGCAGAGCTAAAGTTAAGAGGATCTAATTTAGATCTAATAGGCACAATAGAAACCATCCACTCAAACCCTGCCCGCGGGTCTCCGTGGAGAAGTACGTCGGGTAGTTTGGTGTCTGACTCAACAGCTCTTTCAGGGACCAATGGACCTTAGACCAGCGAAATCTTCGCAGAAAGATAGCACCCATGAAACTCGTCGAATGAAAATAATGAAATATTCTCCTGGAGAATCTGCTAAATGCAGATTACAAAATGACCAACAAAGAGAAACTGCTCAAAGAGATAGCAACAGCTAGCCAACACATTGACATGGCTGGTTGTCGAAGCTCCCGACGCGACGTAGCACCGTGACAGGAAGACCCACGGCCTGTAACTCCAGCTCCCATTGTCACAGGTTTTGGTACGTAAGATCATAATAATTATACTGCAGAACAAAAAATTGTTAAACGGGAGCACTACCAGTCATAAGCATCCATAAGCTGCTATAAACTGCTTCCTGTCTGAAACAAATGAGGTGGCCTCCCTCCCCAGGCCTGCTTTCCCTCATCACGCTGCGTGAAGCAAACCACATCTACATCACTGCCGGGAGTCTCGACCTCGAGTTGGAGCTGAAAAAATTACACGTTCAATGTGTCCCATCATGTCCCATCCACTTGAGTTTCATGGTCGTGGATCGCAATCATCATGTGAAATAAGGCTCACTAGGCTCCAATTTCAATCCAATTTCCATGTTTCACTGCTGGTACCGACTCTCAATGCTGCGCTGCCCACCAAAATCAGCCTACAGCAGGGAGATTGCAACTGCGGTGAAGGCATCCAGGTTCAGCTATATACCAGCTACCAAGATCATGCAAATGTTTCACCGTCGAGTGCAGGAAAATTGGGGATTTAAAGGTGTCATTCTGTGGAAATTGAACTCCTCCATGGTTTTGCACCAGTTCTACTCACTGTACATCTTTGCACCCGAGCACGACATTCGTTACGTACCCGGAGTCACGACCCGCCTCCCGAAGTGGCCCTTCAAGGCGTTCTTACACGCTGTCTCTACAGTGTACACCAAGCCCTGAGGGACGCAGGCTGTTCACAGTCTGGCTGATGTAGACTGGTTCTTTCTGGCAAGTCTGAACTATCTACAGCGAATCTCAAGATTCTCAAGGAACTTAGTATGAAATCAACAAAGCTAGTAGTACATCCCTGCAACACAACTGTTGGCTTCGAAAAAAAATGCTTGCCAACTCCCTGTACGGATCTGTCCATTCAGGGACCCCAAATTCATCATTTCTGAGTCCAAAAGCCAGGAAAAAAATGTATACGTCCAAAGATCACAAAGTGTTCCAGGATGACATAATCATCAGAGCAAATACAGTATGTCACAGATGTATAGAAATATATAATATGATCATGATCTCATGTAATAATGTAATACAGTAGTTGAAGTGAATATGTATACCTATGCAAACATACAGCAAGCCCAGCATTCCGCCTGCTGAGTCTCCCGGAGCCTCAGGGCTTTGCAACCGAGGAAGCGGAAGCCCCCGGTTGATGTGGATATGACACTGGGCCAAAAACAAACAGTTGAGATTTGGATGATTTCGAATGATTTCAAGAAATGCATCCAAATCCAAATTGAGATGATTTAGGGTAATACAAATCAACATCTATAGTTTCCCATGTTCCCATTGCGTCTACCACATGATTTCTTATGTCCCACACGTGACATTCACCTTTTTCAATCGCGGGCTGCAGGTCTCAGGCCAAAACTGATGCATGTGATGATCCATGGCAGCCAGCATCTCCATGAGAAACACCTGGGGCAAGGCGAGTTTGATGGTGCTGTTTGATGGCTGAAGGAGAGAAATAAACGGTGCGATGGCAATGTCATGCAATGTCTATGATCTCAGAAGTATCTCAAAGTATCAACCGATCGATGATCAACACACCCTGTGTCTTTGTCCAGCAAATGCATTGCAAGAAGAGTGAACGCTTCAATGATCGAAAGCTCGGGTTGGACAAACAGTATGCAAACAGTCATACCATGTCATACCTGGAAATACTTGGCAGACCTGTATCTCAGTCTGAACCACAAATCAAGGTTTGTTTGATTTTTGTTGGGTTGGACTGGACATGATTTTTGTATACTCAAAGTCATCCGCATGTGCCTCTCTGGACTGACTGGCCTTGGGAACGTTAGCACTGCTGGCAACCTTGGCAACCTCTCAGTTCGAGCTGACCTTTTTCTGGGTTTTACGAACTGCCCCAGGGCAAATGATAACACATATAAACAGATATAGTACAGTATCACATATCCTAGAACCACCAAAGGAGCTACATACTGCGGAGTGGCTACACAAACAAGAAAACCCCCTTTGTCTAGACACCACAAGTCCAACCTCTCAATCAAGCCCGGCCTGGCCTCAATTAGAAGTGTCATGAAGTGTCTTTAAAATGGCCATTAAAATCATTAAATGTACCATGCAACGGCATTGGGGTGCCGACGTCATTCCTCGATGTCCATGAACCTGAGAGAATGGTGCTGCAGGGCCCGTTCCGCACGACTAACACCTTACACAGTGCTAGTGCTCAATGCCACTGGTTGCAGAAGCAAAGGGCATTTAGGGTCAATATGCATCAGGCTGGTCCACCAAAAGGCAGAGAGTTTATAGAAAAATCATATCACATCAAAGTCGACTTGCAACAGCACACGGGTGCATCTGCACCAACTTAGGAAAATGCATGTTTCCTTTCACTACCAGCACCAGAGGTTTCCACAGTCTGCTCATTAGTGAGTCTGTGGAGTACATGGCAATTAAAACCCATAGATGATAGGCTGCGGCCAGGAATTATATGGAGTAGAGAGATACTGAGAGATACTGTAACATTCCAAGGACGTACTCCAGTTGTGATCCACCGCATTTCCCGCACCTTCTTCTGGGTTCACCTCTGCTGCGCCATGAGTGCCATGTGCAATTTGAATATACTTGTAATACTTGTATCAGGTGAAGCATGGTGAAGCTATTGGCCAACCTCTTGGCATTCTGAAGAATGTAG